GGAAGACAGTGCTCGTCACTACGAAAAGTGGCTGGATGTGCAAGGTGCCCAGTGCTTTGGCGCCAACATGCCCCTCTCTTGGAAATGGTGCACAAGCCCTCTTGTGGCTTGGGCCATTGGAGGCGACGGTAAGGGGGCGCTCGTGATTTTTGTGATGTGACGAGCTGAATAAAGCTGCACCATGCATAGTCAACTATAGGACAAGAGTAACACGTCATTTCATTTTGATTAGGCGAACTGATGCCAGAGAACGTGGGTCTCCCAATTGGAGAAGAACACGGAGGCGCTACGTACTTCATGATGGAAATACACTACGACAATCCTGATAAGAAAGCAGGTAAGATCGCCACTGACGCACAAATGTGGAGTTCATGCTTCTGGGAGTACTATTCTTAAATCACATGAAACATCAAATACCATGACGATATTCTTAACGATAATCAGTTCTGTTGATTGAGGAGTTAAACCGATATCCTTTTTGTTTTGCTTGGACCGAATCTAATATCTTGAAACGTTTTTACTGATTAGTTTTCTGAACTAATTTCCGAACACTTGGATCATGCGCCAGATGTCGCCGGTGTCCATTTTATGAATTTAGAATCTGATTTACAAGGAATTTTTTTTTTGTACGTTTAGCAGTGTCAGAAACTAATGCTAAATATTGTGTTTTTGCCATTTTCGCTCGAAGTTCAAATACACAGGTTACACCTGTGCAATGCTGTGAGAAACAAACTTGACATCCTTTATACATTATTTCGGTGAAATAAGTTGCCATCCATCGCACTGATTGTGCATGGAATTCCTGCTGAAGAGAGGTAAGGCCAGTGGCTCATTAACTTCGTTTTCACTCTTTTACGAGATTTGGTCAAGCTACAATGCATTTCAAAAATTGGGGATCATAAGTACCTATGCCATTTGTGCAAAGGATGCAGGCGAAAGAAGGAAGACGAGCGAGAACCGGGAATATTTTACGAAATGCTTCCTCACGTCTGCTTTGGAGGAAAAGGAAGATTGAACAAGAAGAGAAACCGAGTATCCGTGTAATCTGAGAAAGATCGCCAGCGATGCCTGTGCATAATTGGCAATTTGTATTCTCGAATATCCTATTCATTGAGTTCGTTTCTGAGCTGCCCCCCTGTTGAAATGCCCAATTATCCAAACAGGTGTAGTAGATGGCTCTGGAATCAGGGTCTTCTACACGGAGAAGCTCCGGGAGCATGACGCTGGCATAATGATGATTGGGCACATGGTCACGCCGCTGCAGATTGTTCCGCCCAACGAGAAGTGGCTCTCCGTCGGCACCTGCGACTCTAGCTGCACAGACAAGGTAGGACATGCTTTGCGAAAGCGTGGATAGGGTGGCCGCGGGGTTTTGGACCACTTGCCCTCGCCTTATCAGATTGATTTGCCTAGTGTGCTTGTACAAAAGGACACGAATGAGGGATGGAAAAACGTAACAGAGTCTCTTCTAAATACAGGAATTGCCGGAAGGTGGAATTAAGGTTTTCCAGGGAGTACTTCACGCCCATCTCCTTGGAAGAGAAATTACGGTCAGGCACATACGCGGTAGAAAGGAACTGCCCACAGAGCTTAAAGGTAACATGCAAACGAATCTCTCTCTCTCTCTCTCCTCCTCCTCCTCCTCCTCCTCCTCCTCCTCCTCCCCCTCCTCTCTCTGTCAACATCATGAGTGTGATAGTAGTATCATCAATTACTATCTTTCTGAAATTATATTCCCTCCCTCCAGACAACAGCTATGACTTCAACTACCAGCAAGTCCGTAAACTGAAGGACGAAATGACTATTCTTCGCGGTGACACTTTGATCACCGAGTGCCAGTATGATGCCACAAAGAGAAACGTCCCCACTTTTGTAAGTGAAGATTCTGTAGCTGTACTTGTGTACACACACACGCACTGCACGCACACACACACACACACACACACACACACACACACACACACACACACACACACACACACACACACACACACACACACACACACACACACATACATACACATATTACAAAGCTGCTTACCTCAGAGGCTCTGCCAATGCCTCGGTCTCTCTCCAACCATGAGCCTCCTGCCCCCAGGGCGGCTTCGGAACTGAGGAGGAGATGTGCCTGGTGTTCCTGACGTACTACCCCCGTGTGGACCTCGCCGTCTGTTCCTCGCAGCCGAACATGAGTGAAATTCTCGAAGGCATCAATGTTGAGGATCTGCACATCATGGAGCAGGTTCGGTCAGTAAATATAACATCTTTTGTTATTGTACTTTTCATGCACGTGTCTACATCTGCGCCTCCCTACAGTTCTCAAAGGAAATTGAACTTGTCACGGCCACTGCGTCATGCAATTAGTATCACTAATTGCATAATTGCAGTCACTAATTGCTCTTGTTTTCCTATTTTTGTTATTGCTATCTAGATTGTTATTATTGTCGTTGTCACTAGAGTTGTATTTATGCATTGATGACTCAGTTGTGGGAATAAGTCCCCATTCTGGTTGCAAGTGTGTTCCTTCATTTTTTAAATAACCTTTCATATAAAAAATAATGTCAGCCATTTTCATTTTTTTCTTCTCTCCTCACAGGAAGAGTTTAGAGGAAGGCGGGTGAGTTTGATATTTTTTGTTATCACAGACGTTTAAAAATATGTGTACACAGATTGTATCTACTCACTTAGCATGCTATTGAATGAGCGTATTCCAGTAATTACTGGTCACTAAAGCGTCAAATAATTCAGTCGCATTATGCTCTGCAGACAAACAGTCGACGAGGAAGCAGAAACCAGAATGGCAGAGGACATGCGAAGGGAAGGCTACGAGCCTAAACTCGGTCCTGTGCTAATGTCGCACTTGTTACGCGGCATGATTGCAAAGGCTCCCGAAAGTAAATCCAGAATTCAAGTAAAAAGTTTTGTAACACAGTGAGAGTACAAATGAAAATCAGTATATTAACGATAAACGCACTCCAATAAATTAACACAAACATTTTATATTTACATTAATATGTTTTTCCCCACAAATCAGAGTACACCAATACTTCACTCTATGATATTCTTCATGACAAAGAAACCTGGCAGTCTGACGTTGTTGCTAAATTGCAAGAGAATGTTGAGCGAGGCGACCACCTCGGTTTCTGCTTGCCGCGTCAGAGTGGCCGCAGCCGCGTAGAATCCAAGGTAATTATTGCTCAAATAATCTGTCACACATGTCGTGATATTCAATTAGCATGAATACATAAACATAAGCCGCTTTCACTTGAGCCTATTTTCCACCACCCAGCTTGTGATGATATCCAATAAGCGGTTTCCCCAATCAGTGTTGGCTTTTTCCCAACTCGCTGATCTCATCAAACAGAACCATCGTTAACCCGCTCAGTTTCAACCAACAAACTCAATGTTGACGTCATGGCCATTATCAGATGAAATTCTGTGTAGAGAGAATAAAGACACTTTAAAATGTAAGATTGTGAAATATAATATTTATTAACCCAATCTCCACAGATTTAAGTTCTGTCCCCTGTAGTTTCTTGTGAATTTTGTTACATACAGATGGCTCCACATGTGCTCAGCTGGCAAGGAGTCTATCAGCAGGCCCTAGTGACAGACCCTGATTTCCTGATTCCTTGAATTAGCGGGAATATGTTTTTTTTTCCTTTTTAACCCATTACCGCCGGTGAAAATGAATAAAAAATAGGGAAAGTTATTGTGACCTTACCTCATTTGACCTTTCCCTGAATTGGCGACAGAAACGTATTTATACTAGTGCTATGAATATTGATGGTGTTAATTTTGTTATAAACATTATAACTACTATAATGTTATAAACATTTGTAACAGCAAAATCAAATAACGTAAAATATTTTCATAAATGAATAAAAAGGGTGAACTGGCGAGACAGGCAGTACTCATAACTGGCTCACTGGTGACTTAGTACAAGTGTAGCCATCTATGTTGAAAAACAATAAAACAAGTAAACTCACAGTGGGAATGGCATAATGTTATAATTGTTAGTTATAAATTTTTTGGTAACATTTAAGACAATGAAATAATACAAAAGATCCTTTCCAAATGTCAAGGAAAAGGGTTAACAGGTGAGATAGGTAGGACTAATAACTGACTCCTTGGTGATTAAGCATTTGTAGAGCCATCTATGTGTAAATACAATAAAATAATCTTATATTACAGTGCACATGAAATGTATTCTTGTCATCCGAGTGGGTTAAGAAATCGAATTATTTGAAATATATAGGATTAAAATTGCTTGTGCCATTGAGTATTTATCGGCAGACTACAGACTCTTGCCACGCCTCAGTGAATCGCTCGCCCAACTTCCAGCAAGTCACAGGAAGAGGATTGTACCGACTCAGAGGCTGGGGGAGTGGAAAAGGAAACTCGACACTACTGCCAACCTGTTGTCGAAGAATCGCTCGTGTGACAGCGGCTGTCGCAGTCGTGCTGATAAAGCGGTTATTTACCACAAGGATGATAAGTATGCATTCCTTACTTTCAGGAAACAATTGCATACCCTGAATTCGAGGTCTTCAAGCCAGATTTAGGGCCCTGCGAATCACGAAACCAAGGTAATTATGCAGTATATATGTGACCAGATGATTTAACTCTCATTTATTATTTCTCAGCTTAAAAAAGTAAACATGTTACACTTTTACCGTTTTACATGACTTCATTTAATTTTAAAACTATTTTATGGATTCTAAAAATATTTATTTTGCGTTTTTACCATTTCCTTTTATTTCATTTATAATCTGAACTCCTGGCGACTTCCTACTTCCTTCTTCACAACAGAGTCAGCTGGTTCTCTCATGCACCGCGCCGTCATGGACAGAGAGGGCAAATACGTCATGCTGTGGACTCCAGGAGAAGAAGATATTGTTTTTGAGGTCCAGGTGAGTGGGTGTGCGTCTCTGGAGCTGCAAACTGCAAACTGTAGAGAAGCAAATTCTTCTTGACAAATGAGTTTGGAATCTTTGTGATTGAGTAGTTAAACATTTTATCAGTGAATTTGATGCTTTATGACACAGGATCCCAAGCTCTTGTTATATAATGCCTCAAAGTGTTCTTGACATAGAACCGAAATCCCTTACTATGTAAGGACTTGAATACTCTAGGTCATAGGAATCAGAGCCATTATTCAATAATGATTCAAATATTTTCTGCCTCAGCACCCAAAGCCCCTATTATTAAGGATTAGAATGGCAGAGAAATCCAGATGCTTCATAACGTTTGATACCCTTAATGATATAAAGAATAAATCCTTCATCACTAAGATATATTCTTCCTGGATTAGATCCTTCATTACGTAAAACCAAATCTTTTTTGGCATAAGAACTAATAATGCTAATATATTTATGATATCAATAATGTATTTGCTCATCAAATTGTCAAAAGTGTTGGAAGAGGTAACTTTGTAAAAAGGTTTTAAATTCGTGCACATCAAGATTTTATAAAAGATTATCCTCAGGTGGCGACCAAGGGGTACGTGGGCCTCGGGTTCTCCCCCAACGGCGGGATGACGGGCTCGGACATCGTGCTCGGCTGGGTCACGGACGACGGAGAGGTCATGGTGCAAGTAAGTAAATGAACGTAATGGAAACATACATTCATATGTAGAGTCTGCTTGATGAACTGTGAGTTGAGGCAGGGATCAGTAAACGACTGTGGAATTCTATCTGTATGTATATTTGTTTGCCATCACTAATCTTAGGATGATCTTCCAGGATAGCTATGCCACAGGTTACAGTCAACCCATGAAGGATGAACAGCAGAACGTGAAGCTTCTGGGAGGATATCAGAATGACTCCCATACTGTACTGAGGTTTTCCAGGCCTTGGTCCACGTGCGATGAACAAGATTTCGAGTTATCAGTATGTAGATTTACAAAAGTGTAAAATAGACAAGAACTCTCAATTTCTTTGGACTCAGTTGGCTTATTTGTACTAGTCTTTTGAAGGTCATCATCGTATTTCGAAATACCATTAAACGTATTACTTTCCTGTTCGGGCACAGAGCGATACGGTGCGAGTAATTTGGGCCATCGGGAGCGAAGACCCGGTCGACGACTTGATGAAGAGGCACGACCAGCGAGGCACAAGGAGCATTTTCCTGAAAGAACCTCAGTTCGTCCTTCCCACCTTCAGTGATGACGTACAGGCATGGGACGTTTTATCTCCAAATGTAAGAGCAGCGAGTTTTCTCTTTAATTATTTGATTTGATTGAATGTTTATGCCTGTGGATAGATAAGTACTTATATGGTAATTTTGTAGAGCTTTTATCTTTTGCTTATACATTAATATTTCCTGTTATTGTTTTGATGAGCAGGTGACTCTTCCAAACAACCTCACAACGTTGTACTGGTGTAAACTTTTCAAGATGCCACCCATCACACGCAAGACGCATGTTATTGGGGTGAGAGAGGAGTTTTACACATAGATTTCCGAATACTGAACTACACCAATATTACTGATAAGGCAATACACAGATACAGTCAAAATTGCATAGATCTTTGTAGGAAATCATAGATTAATCACTATGGTCAACTCCTCATTCATTACAGTATGTACCAATAGTCCAGGAAGGGAATCACCAGCATGTGCACCACATTTTGCTCTACGAATGCCACCTTGAGGACGGTGCTCGTCACTACGAAAAGTGGCTGGATGTGCAAGGTGCTCAGTGCTATGGCGCCAACATGCCCCTCTCTTGGAAACGGTGCACAAGCCCTCTTGTGGCTTGGGCCATTGGAGGCGAAGGTAATATATTCTCGGTGAAATTTCCTTTAAGATTCATATAAAGATGCATTATTAATAATCTTTAATATATTCATTATGTTTTACAAGTTCTTTGTTTTGTAGGGGAAATCCTGCCGCATAATGTTGGTTTCCCACTTGGTGAGGAACATGGTGGTGCCACATACTTCATGATGGAAATACACTATGACAATCCAGATCTCAAGGAAGGTAAGGTTAAGAATTATAAAATCTTCATACAATGAACACAAACTTTGTATTTGATTTTTTATTCACTTATTTTGTTAAAAATTATGTAGAGTATATTTATATGAATGAATGTTAATACCCTACAGATCAAAATCACAATGAATTTATGGGTGTGTTCAGGCTTTTAAAATTACATAACACAATTATTATTTTACGAGCAGGTGTAGTAGATGCTTCTGGGATAAGAATTTTCCACACGGAGAACTTGCGTGAGCATGATGCTGGAATTCTGACGCTGGGCCATGCTGTTTCCCCAATGCAAATCGTGCCTCCCAGTAGGAAGTGGCTCTCTGTTGGTCACTGTGATTCTAGTTGCACAAATAAGGTGATTTAATGCTTACTATCAGTATGCAAGATATAGAACTGTTGTACATGTCATTTGCAAAAAACACTGCTGCTTTCACTGTGATACAACTAATTAGTATACACATTATATAGAAAAAAAATGTAATAGTTACATTTGATATTATCGTAACT